AGTTTATCTGTGTCTGTCGAACCTCTTCAAATTGCATGTTGAAAGATCGGAATCCGGTAACGTTGGGAAACAAACCCCATTACCAAAGCAAGATGAAACACTATAACACAGTATGTAGAGAAATTTTACAATGGTTGGAAAAAAGATGAACCATTTATTGGACGAGATCGGATGGTGAAAAAATAGGATATATGCCATGTTCCTTAATTGCCAGTATACTTGGAGTCGAGTTGCGGAAATAGGAAGGAGTTAGCAAATCTTCTAAATATCAAAGGCAAACTATGGGACAAGATCTGTTTTTCATTTTATATTTTATTTTCGAAATAAGGGTACATCAGTCATTTTAGTACTGTCATTCAAGGGCAAAAATGAGATTAGGCAAACATCTTGCAGTTAGATCCACAAACATGTATCCTTTTAAAAAAAACTACAGACATGTATGTGCATGGATCCTTAATGAAATGGATGTGCATACTTGGTGCAACTTTTTTATGTGACCCGATAGTTTGAACACTTCCCTGAGCACTCTTTCTCTGGCTAGCAATTCGGCGGCGCCACTGGACAGCAGACAGGCGCCAGCGTCATGGACTGGATGCACCGGAAAAATGCTTCCTTTGTGATCAAGAGCCGGAGACGATCGACCACATCGTCGCGTCATGCTCGTTCTCGAGGCAAATTTGGTGGAATATTCTCTCCGCGCTCGGCAACGACTTCTCACAGGTCGGAGGGGACTCCATCCTATCTTGGTGGCGCTCTTGGAGGCAACGATGGAGTGGAAACAAGAGGAAGGGTGCCGACTCGCTCTTCTCGCTCGTGGCTTGGGAGCTTTGGAAGGAGCGCAACGCTAGGTGCTTCCGAGGCAAATCGGCGAACACTATGCAGTTCCTAGCCATGATCCGGCACTTCGCAAACCTATGGATTGATGCGGGGGCACGGCACCTTGGTTGTTTAGTTCGGGAGCGTTCGCTTTAGTCTAGTACGCTAGGGTGGAACAGACAAAGTGTAACACATCATGTCCCCCTAGTGCGTCGGCAGTGCGGCGCATCAATGTAAAACTCAAATCCTTTCGACCTTAATACAAAAGATTCGCAAATCTTTTACGTATTCGAGAAAAAAACTTAATGATGAAGTTAGACCTTGAGCTGGGAGAAACTCCAATGCCTGTTGTTAGGAAAGTTTAAAGGGAGACGATGCCATTCAACAAAAATCAGCAAGAGATGCTTAGCCTAAATTAAGGCCGATATTTTTGGTATCTGACCTTTCCCCAAGAAACTCTTCTGTACTGAGTAGCATTTTGCTGCTCAATCCTTCGGCGCCTTTGAATCCAGCCACCACCAAATAAATCCTTAACTTCAGATCTGATAACAAGGAAATGATTATTCTGACCAACTAACGGGATTACATACCTTCCCTAATGTTATCCATATACCTGCATATAGATCTCACGATATACTGTATATTATTCATTAAAAATAGGTGGGCCAGACAATGATCCCCGTATTGCTTTGATTTGGTGTCAAGGTTTGTGTCCAAATCATGTATAACATCCATAATTTGAGAGACCAGATCTGAATTTGCTCCATCTCCAGTACCAGGCTCTTCAAGTATCTGCTTGAGTGATGCCTGATAGCTGCATATATTTTATAGTTATTAGTTTATGGTTGCTGATAATGGTATTGTGTTGTATTGTATTATATGGGAGACCACATGAATGAATAAAGATGGCGCAGCCTCACCTACTCAAAAATAAATTTGATATAATTAATGAAATAACTGGTAAGAGGATGCACAGCTCCATCGGCAGTAGTGCTATTTAGTGAGTCCTTCAAAATGTTTCCTTTGAAGTCATTGAAAGTTCCTTTTGCAGTTTGTGCTAAGCATTTGGTCAAACCAAGTGTGGTTTTCCGGTTTTCAGAGCATGCATGTTCCCCAAAGACTACCTCGACCTAATATAGCAAACACAACAATAACACAGCTAGATACTTACATGAAAGGTTACAGTCACTTAGCATGCATGCGTAATGCATGATATGTAGTGCATCCAACTTGGTGTCTGAAAGAAATACTCAAGTGCATTAAATTTTCAAAATGCAGCATTGAGTGCAGTTAAGAAAGAATACTTTTCAGTAAAAAAAAAAGGATACTTTGAGGCTGCAAATCTATGCTGGAAACCTAATCTCTGATTGAAGTTCCAATGTTGCCTCATACATATGAAGCAGCACGAAAAACCTAACCTCTCGGTACACAACATTTCGAGTCCGCAAACCATCAGTATTCTCAATTAGAATTCTTAGGCCACCTCTGGAAGTCGACCTTGAGACAGCCACATAGAGCTGGCCATATGTAAACTAGAATTCTTAGGACCTCAGAGTGAAATAGACGGGTCCAAAAAGTAGTGTCAATCAACAAAAGCAACCGAAAGTAAGTCACACAAGCATCAAAGCCTTACAATGAACCTCCTGAGGACATGGCTACCAAGTAGAGACAGTGGACTTACAGCTGAAATATGCTACGGATGCATACCGGAGAAGTGGCTACAGTTACAAGTGTTTTTTTAGCAAATTGGGCAGGTGCTCTGCCTTTTCTTTTAGTAGATAGCAAAAATACAATCTGAAATGTTACATGTACAGAGTTGGATGATAAATAATAAAGGAGAGAAGGAAGGAAGACTGACATCAACACTAATTTAGGTCAATCTCAAGATAATGTGGAAGCACTAAAGCAAGATAAATTGATAAATTTGATTGCTGTAGACAAAGAAAGCAACAATTCAGTGTAGCTGTTTAGAAAAAAGGCTCTTCTTGGACATGCTCCTCTCCACTGCCTAGTTCAGCAAAAGATTTGAACAGATTTATCTATAATTCTATGAACAGCTCAATCCTTTTTCTAGAAGCAAAAATTGCTGGATCTTCTTAGCATGAGCACCGCTGCCACAAGATCCTAGCATTGGCTTTGCACAGGGTCTGCTCAGCGCCATTGGTGATGTGATGCCACGGCAAAAGATGTCGATCAAGATGTCTCTTGGAATCTTTCCCTTGCTCGTGCAGCGGTACTACAAGATTTGGACGGGGCCGATGGAGCAGAACGCGTCTGTCGGCCCCGCACCGGCGGCAATGCGGAAGTGCCAGAGGCGGCCCTTTGCGGCGACGAGGTTGTCCTCGCAGAGGTACTCCCACGCATACCACCGCTCCACCGTCCGGTCCACGTCGTGCACCGCCACGTCCACCGCCTCGCCGCCAGCCACGGCGCGAGCCAGCGCCGCGGCGGTGTAGATGGTCCCCATCCGCCCGGGCTCCTCCGGCGCCGCTCCGCTGGGCCCGTCGACGACGACCACGTCCCACCGCGCGTCGAGCACCTCCCGCGGCAGCGAGGTGAGCGCCAGCGGGCACCCGGACTTCACCGTCCCCGTGGGCCGCCGGCACGCCGGGCTTCCCCGCGCGCGTCGCAGCAGCGGCCACGCCTCCGCCGCCGCGTCGCGGTACCTGGCCCGGTGGACGGCCACCGCGTCGGCGGACCCAGCCCCAGCCCCGCGCCCGGAGAGGAGCGCGCGGCGCGCGGCGTCCGCGTCGTCGGCGCTGTCTGTGACGAAGGCGGTGGCGGCCCCCGCGCCGGCTCCGGAGTTGAGCTTGGCGAGGGCGAGGAGCTGCGGGGAGAGGCCGAATACCAGCAGCCTGCACGGCGCCCGCGCGGCGACGACGGAGCGGAGCAGCGCGAGCTCCTTGACGGCGAGCGCGCTCCTAGCCGTCCCGTTACCCCCGCCGACGGCGTCCCACGCCGGGCTGCTGCGGGAGGTCGAGCCCGCTGACGAGAACGACGAGCTGGTGAGGAGGAGCAGCTTGATGAAGGAGAGCGTGGAGAAGATGACGATGACGATGGTCAGCAGCTGCTTCGGCGGCATCATCCTGTTACCCGCGCCGCCCCCGCCCCCGCCGCTCAGGTGCATCTGGAAGCTACTCATCGGGTGTTCTACTGACCTCCTGATCTTGTCTTCCTCCTCATTTGCCCACTGATTCCCGCTCTCAGATGCCAGATCTCCAAACCGCCGCTGCGTAGCCGGGATCTTGTCCTCGGTTCTAGGCCAGAGGGTTGCTTTGCTCTTCTGTCCCCGTGCCGTGCTCCGTTGTCTGCTGCCTTGTCCTCTGCTGGCCGGTAGGTGTTGACTTCTCCCTCCTAACTGCTGCTGTTTGCTGATGTTTCGGTGTCACCTTTCTCGAGCTGCAGACCTCTTGCATGGCTCCGAAGACTGAACAGAAAGTACTGTATATCAAATTCTAAAGAGAGATTTTTTTTTTAAGATGCCGAACTTTTGTTACGGTCATGCTGTCTATCGAGTGCCCGGCCGGTCAAACGCGCGTCTTTGCTGGGCCTGCAGACACCGGCGACCCATTATTAAAAAAAAAAATTGATGCTTTCACCGGGGGAACGAGATCCTCTAACTTCACGTCAAACGACTGCAGAACGCAGTCACGCCATCTGCGTCGTCGGCTGAGGATCAAACGCCTGTGAGTGTTGGCGGTCGGAATGAGAGCATGGATATCTTTTGTCACTGACGTGCAATCTGGATGTCTTTTGCAAGTTGGGAAAATTAGCTCATGGACATCTTTCAACCGTGGCTTTTGCTACGAGCCATTAAAAAAGTGTGGTTGTGCTATAACACACTATTCAACAATGACAATATGATGCTGCATACTATAGCTCTTATAATAATGTTTCTCAGTCAAACAGGTATCAAACATGATTTCTGGACAAGAATACCCTTACCCCTTCGGATCAACATTACAGCAACAATATATGAGCATGACAAGGAACATTTTAGCATCATAACAGATTGATTTTCATCAATATTTCACCATAGTAGAACAGCAGGTTCAAACTAAAGTAGCTGGTCCAGCAAAACAACATGTTCCGACCACATTAGTCTATCTAGTACAGTACCAGATCCATACATCACAAGATCATGGTTTGAACAGCAACATTAGAAGAACATGGTACTAAACGGTCTAAGCTTTCTTGGATCTGACAACCTTCAATTTCTTTGGCTTTCCCTTCTCATGGGCAGGATATGGAGATAGAGTAAGACATTGAACATGTTCTATATTGCCTTCAAGTTCTAGCATCCTCTTACGGCTATAAATGGATATAGAGTTGTGTCAAATAAACGGAGATGACCAACATTAAGGCATAAAAAATGAAGTTGTAGTACCTTCTTGTGAGAGGGCTTGGTGTCGAAATAGAGGCAATGGCTCTAGTCAGTGTAAATGCTTCATATTCCAACAACCTCCTTGACATACTGCAAAGATGTAGAAGCATGCAAAATTGGCATAGAAAGAAACATTCACATGTGCAGTTTTTTTTAAAAGGAAGATTTAAAGTTGTCATAATGTACCTCCTTGTCACAGGGCTTGTTGTAGAAACAGAAGTGATGGCTCTAGTTGGTGTAGCACTGCAAGTCGTTTAAATACGTAAGTTATGGGTGGAAACATTTGTAAGTTAGGTCAAAAAATTTCATAAAGCAGTTGAAAGCTTACAATGGGTCAGCATGTGATGGTTGTTCCTGTGGTGGCTCAGAAATACTAGATGGCACTGTTGTCACCATCTTTGTGTGAATACTAGATCCCTTGTAACACCTTCGACTTCATCTAACATATCAGTATCTTTGCCACCATTTTTGTGTGAATACCTCCACATATATTTCAGCCCCCTGTTCCTTGCATTGAGGTCCTTCATAACATTTGGCAATATCTTCTCTTCAAGCTTCCGAGCAATTTTTCTTCTCAAGAACATTTTTTCCATGCATAGTTGTCTTACCCTATCCATAAGATCAATTACATTGAGGGATTTTTTCATGCCTAACCTAGCTATTGAATGTTTCAGCTATGTTATTTGTCACATAGTCACATTTGCTTGCTTCAGAGAACAAGTGCCTTGTCCAGAGATGTTATGGTTGTCATGTATCCACTTCATAGCTTCAGGGCATGCTTCATACATCAGATTGTAGTGCTCTTCAAACCTATGTCTTTAAAAAGCCCTACATGCTGGCCACAAGTGCTTCTCAAAGACCTCGCCTCGAAATCGCTTTTGGAAGTTTGCAACTAAGTGCCTCATGCACTCTCTATGCTCAACCCCACTTTTGAAGACTTTAGTAACAGCAGAATCAATTCCCTTGCCTACATCAGTTGATATCACTAGGCCTGGAGGTGATCCAATAGCTTGATGAAGTCTACTAAAAAACCAAGCCCAATTTTCAGTTGTCTCTGATCCAAACACACCATAACACACTAAAAACATCCAATTGTTCCCATCAATAGCAGTCGCAGATGCAAGTTGACCCTTCCATTTCCCAGTCAAATGGGTGGAGTCCACACCAAGAAAAGGTCTGCAACCATTCAAAAAACCATCCACACTGGCTTTGAAGGCAACAAACATTCTGGTAAATTTCATCTTCTTCCTATCTTGCTCATATTCAATGTCAACCAAACTGCCATGAGTGGTCCTCTCTACCTCAGCCTTGAATCTGAAAGCATGTGCAAAGCTGTCATCCCACCTCCCTTTGAGTTGTTCCAAAACCATATTTCTTCCATCCCACACCACCCAATATGATAATTGTAGATGGTACTGTTCTTGTAGCCTTTTCTGCAATGCTTTAGCCCTAATTGTAGCGTCCTTTGCAAGCCAATCAAGAACCATGTCCCTGACCCAATGATTTGTCGCCATGCAGTTCTTCTCAACTTTTCCTGTGCTTTGACAAGTGTGATCAACAGGAATCTTCTTTATCTACATCAAGGAAAAAATCAGGACAAAAGATCAACCAAAAGTACATGTAAAAAAACAATCAGAACAAAAATTAGCACAAAAATCAGTAACTGCCAAGTCCTTCCATCCTGCAATTGTGAAGCATGTATCCACCACTTGCACCCATCAGCTTTGCAATAGCCTCTATATCTTTTTGCCTCAGAATAGGGAGCTGCAATTTCATATTTGCCTTTTATTGCATATTGCCTAATAGCCTTCTTAAAAGTAGTACTATCCATGAAAGTTACATCGACTTTTATTGTTGGATTCTCTAGGTCAATTGCATGGATAATTGTCTCACAACCCTGTGCATCCTCCACAACTAATTCATCCTCTAAACCAACACAATCTACATCACCGTACACTTCACAATCAGATGAATTAGATACTGAATCCTCATCATCCAGCCCAACATACTCTATATCATCATCCACCCATGCCACTTCAGCATTGTTCTGAACTGAAGGCTCTACAAGTGATGATGCAATGTCAAGTGGAGGTTGTGCAATAATTTGGTTGGTGCTCTGCAGCCGTCCAATATCATGCAAGTAATCTGAATCATCATTCTTCGTAACACACACTTGTACTGAGAGCCTTCTTATCTCCCAATACATATCAATTGCATGAAGCAATTTTTGGTCAGAAGTGATCTCTTCATAAGTGTGACTCATATTATCTCAATAGGTGACACACAACTTGTGTTTAGAGCTTAGATTAATTTTTGTACCAATGTCAATCAGCAAGCCATTCCAATTTGTCATATCCTGGTCTAAAATCCTAGGAATGTTACATGCCTGACAGTACTCACGACCACCATCATCAGTAAATTTCACATAAGCACCCACACGCATAGCAAGCCTGTAGGACGAATTGGGATCCATCCTACACAAACATTGGCACAAATCGAAGCGGAATCAAAACATATTATGCTTTACTTTGCAAATATTAGCCCATGCTAGCACTAACCCTAGAGAAATTGGGAGAAAACTTACCCCTCAGGAACCCATGAAAGATCTGCCTGATCTTGAGGGGAAATCTCGTTGAGGAATCGTGGGGCCTCCATCTTCAATCAATCGCTGAGACACGGTGCGCCGCTGGAGGGAATGCTTGGGGCCCAGCACAAGCTACTCCCTAGCCAGGCGGAGGCGCACGCTGCGGGTGGGCTCCGGGCGCGGGCTGCACGGGTGGGGTCGGTGCTTCCTTGTGATTGTGCCGCCGCCTGGAAGTTGAGAGAGAGAGAGCAGTTCGGATAGAAGAGAAGCGAACGGGAAGAACGGGATGAATGCTTCTGTGCATGCGTGTGAGTCCACCTAAAGAGATAAGGGGCAAAATCGTCATTCGGTTGTCTTTCCAATTTAATTGAATAAAATAAGATGTGTGGTGTGCAACAGCATATTGATACGATTGAAGAGTGTGTTTCGACGAAGTTCTCTTTTTCGGTGCTCTGTGGCAAAAGCCACGGTTGAACGGTGTCCGGGAGCCAATTTTGCCTTGCAAGTTTGTATGGATGTCTTTTGCCTCTTGAAAAATGAGCTACCACGATCTGTATGTATTTGTCGGTGTTTCAAATAAACACCAACGAGTAAATTTGTATTATTGCGCGTCTGACCCGGATGGTGTGCTAAAAAGACACAAGGTTTATACTGTTTCGGGTAGAATGTCACTACGTCTAGTTCGTGGCTGTTGCTCGTGTTATTAGCACTGAAAAGTTCATAGTAGGGGTTACAAACGGGCGAGAGAGGGACATGTCCTAAGTCTCTAATGGAAAGATCGAATGGGTGCCGAGAGCTCGGTCGATGCTCAGCTGTGTGTTCGAGGTTCGATGCTAGTGGTTCTGCTGTGAGGCGGTGTGTTGTGCGATGTCGTGAACCAATGCTCCTTAGTGGGGTGCCCTGCTTTTTCTTTTATAGGCCAAGGGGGAGCATGTGTTACAGATTGGAGAAAAGAGGAAAACGAGAGGCAAAGGAAGTCCTTCAGGGTCGCCGGGTCTTCCTTTTCCTCCGTGCGGGTCCCCCGCTTGACATGGCGGGCGGTGTGAGGACATCCCACGCCGGCGCATGTCTGACCATGACCATGACAGGCCCGCGCCAGTGCCTATCCGCACGACAATGCCATGCCCCTGGCATTGTCGGTGGTAAATCACGTCTCACTCCACCTCGGCGCGAACGCATGGCGAACGAACGTGTTGATGATCGTGACCATGCTGGAGTAGGCGACCTGGTGATGACAAGCGTCCATCACTATGGGTGATGTGAGTTCCCTGGAATGACATGTCATGGGGACGGGTCATGCTGAGATGTGACCGCTCCCTGCGTGATGCCAGAAGTTTGACCTTGGGTCACACCTTCTGGACCGTAGTGGTTGTTGTGAGCTTCCGTAAAGATCTGTGTCCGAGGGATCGGGTGAGGCGGAGCCAACCCTCGAACGTCGGGCGAGGCGGAGCCGGCCATCAGACGTCGGGCGAGACGGAGCCCGCCCTTAGACATCGAGCAAGGCCGGTGCCAACCCTCAGATGTCGGGCGAGGCGGAGCCAACCCTCGGACGTCGGGCGAGGCGGAGTCAACCCTCAAATGTCAGGCGAGGCGGAGTCGGCCCTAAGACATCAGGCGAGGCGGAGCCAGCCCTCGGAGGTCGGGCGAGGCGGAGCCAGCCCTCGGGGGTCGAACGAGGCAGAGCCAGCCCTCGGGAGTCAGCCGAGGTGGAGCCAGCCCTCGGGGGTCGGGCGAGGCGGAGCCCGCGGCCGCAGCGTCCACCAAGGCGGAGCCAACCCTCGGGGGTCAGACGAGGCAGAGCCCCTGACCTCGGTGGCCGGACGAGGCGGAGCCCAGCAAGAGGTGTAGTCGTGCTCTTGATCGCACTAATACTCAATGTTGATGGTCATTAGCTTCTCCTCTTAAGATACCATAGTATTGGTCCCCGACAGTAGCCCCCGGGCGATTCGAGTAGAATCATCTATGGGATTTTTTGATTTGCCAGCGGGTGCGCACGAGCGCACCCAGTGGGTGTAGCCCTCGAGCCTACGGAGGAGTAGAATACTCCTTCGGAGGTTTTTTCGAAAGGGAGGGCTATGAGGGCCCTGGCCTTCTATTGTTGCTCACGGTGTATCCTGAGGACGGTGATTCCTCCTTGTCGGGGTCGGACCCTTCGCAGGTATGGTCGTGAGATTTGATGGTTCGTTAGCTGGATAGTTTGATTGGGGTCCTGGCATCCCGTTCACGGGGATCCGGCCAGGGTCAGCCTGGCTGAGACCCGATCGTGGGTCAAGATGTCCATGGCGCTCGTTCGCCCGGGTACCGGTTGCTTGCGGGCCCATCCCTTATCCTAAGGGTGCCTGGAGCGGTTGTCAAACCCATTGATGGGCCTGGCCTTCGAACTCCTGTGCCCGAACGGGCTGTAGAGGCGTTTTTTGATCCGTATTCTTCTTACTTGTAACGAGTCCTGGCCCACCTGTGGAGGCGAAACGTCCGGCGAGTCTTCCGAAGGAAAGGATAGGGATTGCGTGCACATATCCCGCGGCGTGACATTGTGGCAGATCGTGGCGGGCGCAGAGATCTAGGCGGACGGTTGGTTTACTCGCATCCGTCGTCCCTATAAAACCAAAGGGTTCGCCCCCAGGGTTTCATACTTTACCTCCTTGCTTTCGCAGCTGCAACCTCCGCCACCAATCGCCTAGGCTTCCCGCATCCACGTCTCAGCCGCCGTCGAGCTCGCTTCCTCCCACCCCCATCTTCCAATGGATCCATGGTGCCGCTCTGACATCACCTTCTAGCGCTTGGAGGGCCTCGTCCGCCGCGATCTTCTCTGTGCGCGGACCGCGGTCGAGGAGTGGCTGCTGCCCGGCGAGGAGGACGTGCCGTCGCCACCCGACGGTTACGTCGTCTCGTTTGCGCACTTCCATGAGCGGGGGTTTGCTACCCCTTCTCACAGATTCCTTCGAGGGCTGCTGCACTACTATAAGATAGAGTTGCACCACCTTTTGTTATTACAGAGGAAGAAGAAGGTAGGCTCGACGGATCTCAGATCTGCTCTGCAAGTTGGTGGTTTGGTGCATTGCCAAACTGGATTGACCTGACGGACCTCAGTTTCTACGCACATGTTCTTGGTTTTCGCACAAATGACTTGCCCAACATAGAAATCTTTTTTCCAAACAAAACTAATCTGAATATTTGTTGTTCGTTTGAAAGAGAATGCACGCTCCAAACCAGTTGTCAAGGTTTGGCACTTAACCAAACCAAGTACTGAGTATGCTCATTGAAGAGAAGGAATAGTCCCACCTTGTCTGTGCAAACAAGAAGACAAATGTCAGACTATTGTATCGGAGACCACATGAATGAATAAAGATGGCGAACTAGTATAATTTGATATAATTAATGACATAGCTCGTATATAAGGGGTGGTGGAAACAGGTACTAGGATGCACAGATCCATCAGCAGTAGTGCTATTTGGTGAGTCCTTCAAAATGTTTCCTTCGAAGTCGCTGAAAGTTCGTTTTGCAGTTTGTGCTAAGCATTTGGTCAAACCAAGAGCGGTTTTCCGGTTTTCAGAGCATGCATATCCCTCAAAGACTACCTCGACCTAATATAGCAAACACAACAATAACAGCTAGATACTTACATGAAAGGTTACATTCGCTTAGCATGCATGCAACTTGGTGTCTGACAGAAATACTCTAAAGTGCATTAGATTTTCAAAATGCAGCATTGAGTGCAGTTAAGAAAGGATACTTTGAGGCTGCAACTCTGCTGAAAACCTAATCTCTGATTGAAGTTCCAATATTGCCTCATACATATCAAGCAGCACGAATAACTTCTCTGGTGATGCTTTGGATTTAGCAACAGCGTCGCCAAAACTGAGTAGAGTTGACAGGCTTTTTGCCATTAGTTGAGCAAAGCAATGATCCTTCAATGCATGCTTCCTTCAAAGATTTGATCACATAGTTTGCGATCAGCAGCAAAAAGCAACTCTACCTGTTTAACATATAGTCAAATATTAAATATTATCAATTGACAAGATTTTATAGTACAAACCTTATCCTTGTGTGATCAGGATTCAAGAGCCTCACCCCAATTCTGTAAAATTGTATCCACTGAGCAATTTTGGCATCCAAGTTCTCAGCCTGAACGCTCTGCAATTGTATCCACTGAGCAATTATATCCACAGCGTGTTTTTTTTCAACAGCAATCCTGCGAATTTTGCGTGTTCCAGGCAATGGCCGAAAAGTACACAGGAAAGCAATGTATAGTGTTTTTCTCACACAACAAAACAGCGTCAGCCAACTTTTCAGGCACAAAAACCATCAGCCAAACAGCGAAATTTCCCAGTCACAGCCTCCACGGCAAAAAAGCCTAACGAAAAGTACAGTGCACACTATGCTGCCCAAGTGCCTCCTCCGTTGCTGCTGCCCGTGCCGTGCCATAGGTCTGCACTTTGCTTTGTTTGCCTGCTGGTGAACAGACATATACAGAGAAGAAGAGTAGACAGATATGCTGCCATGACGAAGGGTAAGTAAAAGTCATCTCGCGTACGCCGGTACGCGTTATCTTCGGTCACCCCAAAATAAAAAGAAAAAAAAACTCTACAATTGGGTCGCCATCCAATGCTCTTCGCGAATGAATGAATATTGAATCAGCAGTTCAGCACCGGTCGTGGACTCTGTCGTTAGTCCATCGAACCCTTCAAAACCCAATGCATCTATGATCTATCTATCCCCCCTAACTCTAACTGCACACAAAAGACACGAATCTTCAACACAATCCACATGGCTATCAATCAGGCTTAACTAAAAAAACTCAATTGTTCAATTCCCGCGCAAGCGCTGCCAGCCGGTTTCTCGCACACTGCTAAGAACTAACAAGCCTAGTTAACTCCTACCAGGTCAACACAAGGCATAGCTGACATATATATTCTTCTGTACAAATAATAATAATGCACCGAAACAAGGAATGGAGCCACAGCAGCTGTATATTTGACTCCCATGGGGAGATCACAAGCAATGCTAACGCTAACAGGGTCTCCAATTTTTTTTACATAGAACAGCATCACATCCTTGTTGCGGTACCAAA